AAGGACTTATTACTCATGGCAAAAGCAGTAGCTGGTTCCATTTGTCGGTGTCAATTCCCTGCACTCCTCCAAATCCCAACGCAGTGACACCACAAGCCCATTAAGAATGCTGGTGAATGCAATTGCTTACCTTGTATCAGAGAAATCCTCCCCTTGGGGAATCCATTTCTGCTCTAGTTAGGGAAAACAAGTCTGCTCTTTTCCTCAGGGGAGATGTTAGCTATTTCTCGGTGCAAATACAGCTCTGAGAAATCGCTTGGGTAAAGAGTGATCCAACCAATACATTCTTAATATACCTAGCAAGAACGTGTAGCATCTGTGATTGTACCTTCCACTGGAACAAACTGATATAATTTAAGAATCTGAAGGATCTTTTATCTTCAACCTTTCTTCAGTCCCTTTGCATAAGTATTTAAACTTCTGCAAGGGGCATTTACCCTAAAATTCCCTTCTCACTTTCTTGCCAAATATACTCTTTCTCAAGAGTCAAACTGAGTAAAAGGTATATGCTTACATTTCATTCTCCTTTCATTATAACTCACTAAAATGGGGCTAATCCCCACCTCTCCATTCAAACAGATTTCTCTCTATCCCTCTGCAAACAGAAGTAGTATCACACGTCATAGATATTTTGAGAAATAAATGAAACTAACATATGTAAAGAATTTAGAGCCTTCAATGACACATAGTCAATAATCAATAGCTGCTAGGAAGAAATATTGTTATTGGCATCCTCTGTCTTTGCCGTATCATCAACAAAATCCTTGACGCTAAATCCCATAGTCACTTTAAGGTTCCTCGTGATGCTTTTGCATGGATGCCTTTTCTTTCTTCCGGAAGCATCCCCTTCTCTGGCTTTTATGATGTCCCTCACTCCTTTGCATGTCCTTCTCAGTCAGCTTTGTGTGTTTTGCCCTCAACTTGCCTTAGATATTGGTACTCACCTATGATTCCTTTATGCTTTCTGCTCCTCCTCTCCTACATGCTTCCACTCCATTGTCAGTCCCTCTAAGGTAATGGAGTTCGTTGGATATCCATAAGATGGAGATACATTTTCAAGGTAAAGACTGGGAGAATTATGTAGAATAAAATGGAGTCTTCAAAGAACTCAGAATCAGATTGGTATTGCTACAACATTGTAGAGATGAGACCATGCAGAGACTGCCAACCTCACCATGATTCTATCTCATCTGAAGAGCAATGAGACAGGCATGAAGGCCAGGGAAGACTGAGGGTGTGAAGGTGCTGGTTGCTTTTTTTGCCGCACAGCAGAGAAGGCTCTAGAAGATCCAGTGGCAGATGAGGAGGGAGTTGTTAATAGGCCCCTGCAACCATCCTTGGAGGTCAGATTGTAGTAATGACAGCAAAGGCAAGAAGCGAATAGTGTTGGGAAGTAAGTCTGTTATCATGAAACTTGGTATTATATTGGATATAGATGAAGAAGGGAAAATGTTATGCGTGGCTCAGGTTTTAGGTTTGTGTGTGTTGATCCATGGTAGTGGAGAGTTGATCTTGTGCTAACATCCTTACAGACATCCTCAACAACTTCTCTGCTGTCAAATCATTAATGTTCAACCCTGACTTGTTCTGTAGCAGTTGGGTCCCAACTCCAGCATATGCGAAAGAAGATACAACCTGATCCACTTACTGTGGTAAATGGAAATGAGATCATATTGAACTAAAGCCCTTTTGGCTCAATTCCATGTAAACTACAGGGCTTCTTTGAAATGAAATGATCTGGTTATTTAGAATACGAAGAGAAAAAGGCATGGATACTAAGTGAGCAGAAAAATTCAATATTTATTACAGACACAGCTCAAATATGTCTATCAGTAGAATTATATGTAACCTCGATGGTTAAAGCTATGCAGTGATGACTAGAAAACAAGGGCAGAGACTGACGCAAGGGAAGAAAGAGTATACAAGCCCATTTCTGAGAGAAACCATTGGTGAATACAGAAAGATAAGGAAATTGAATGAAAGTAAACAACCCTCAAACCACTTAATCATTTATTCATTCCTTCATGGAACATTCATGGAGTACCTACTTCATACTATAACATGACCTTAAGGTGTTGATTTGATCACACATTAAGGCACTATAAGCAAATGTCAGCAGTTTTAATTTAGAGCCTGCTTACTTCTCAGTACCTGGGGGTCTCTGCTCTATACCTTGCCGTATTTCCCCTGAAGTGAACACTTCTACAAAGCAATCTAACAGGAAGCACCGCAGGAATATTTACTTTTTATCAGCCAGGTTCTGAGAACTGTAGGTTACAAGACAAATGGAAGAATAATTTATCTTACCCTGGTCCTCAGTAAATGGTCACACAATCTGAGAAAAAAATAATCTGAAATAATGTTGATTGTGTAGGAACAAAAGTGGATCATTGTTGTCTCGGCAAGCTTTTCTGTGCAAAATCCATTTGATAATAACATGAGTTCTTTTATGCTATTATATTCTGTGGCCATCTGGGGAAATAGTTTGGGGGATAAATATAGCAGAAAGGATATTAAAAAGGAAAAAGAGCAGACATAGTGGATTCTTTTTAACAGTCTTTTATGGTATGAAATTGTGGGTTTATCTCACAGTGATAATGCTCAAAAATTCTAATCATTATCGTTATTCCTGGCACTATTCTGAAGTTCTGGTTCTGAGGGCCGGCTTTCTGTGGGCATCTGACATGAAGATATAACTCAAAAAAAAATTTGGAGCAATTGTTTCTTCACATGAAGTATACTTGATAATAGCATTTTAATGTAATATTGACATTTCTGGTTTTTAACTCTGTTGGGCAGAATCTTGATGGAAAAGAAAATCACTTGTGACCGCTTCAATGGTATCTAATATCATGGCAATTTAATCCAGTGTTATTTCATATCAGAGGTGGTCTATCAAAAAAAAGAATGAGAGACTGCTAACATGGTCTTTAAATTATTATTAATGTGAATATAAAGGGAAAAACTGGTACTAATTTAGGGGCTTTTATTAAGCACTTAAAATATTGTATAATTTTATTTTCCCTCCTATTTTTTTATCTAGTTAAGTATTTTTGCCCAAGTATTGATTTAGGCACTTGCACTGATTTGATGTGGCTTGGCCAAACAACTGAAAAATGGAATCAAATCTTCACATTTATGATCCAGGTGACACTGGTTGCTAAAGAGAGGATTATCTTCACTCCTGCTGGTTGGAATACTATCCAAAGGCCATTAGAATCACCTTGAATCTTTGGGAAATTCAGAATCTTCGGCCCCAGATCAACTAAATTAGTGCTCACATTTGAACCAAGACTCTAATGAATGAAGGCCATAATCACAGCAGGCACATTAGGCTGGATACACATTAGGCTCACTTAGGGTAGTATAAAATTATTTTTGTTTCCCCAAATTATTAGCCAGAATAATTAAATACGATTTGTTAAGGTTGGAGCTCTGTTATTGGCATTTTTAAATGCTTCTCAAATGACTCTAATGGGCTGCCAGGTTTAATAAACTATTGGTTATATATTGCCCAAATGATCAGTAGAGATAAAAAAAAAAAAAGCCAAACCAAATACTGAGCATTTGGTACTACTCTATAAAAGGTCGATTCTTTTGTTCCCCTGATTTTTTTTTTCCCCTGCTAGTCCTGGGACTTGAACACAGGTTTTGAGCGCTGTCCCTGAGCTTTTTTTGCTCAAGACTAGAGCTCTACCACTTGAGCCACATTTCCACCTCTTTCTCTTTCTTTCTTTCTGTCTTTATTTCTTTCTTTCCTCTTTCTTTCTTTCTTTCTTTGCTTTTCTTTTCCTTCATTCCTTCTTTCATTCTTTTCTTTCTTCCATTCTTCCTCCTTTATTTTCTTTCTTTCCTTCTATTCTTTTAGTTCTTTTCCTTTCTTTTTTGTCCTTTCTTTCTTCTTTCTTTCTCTTTCTTCCTTCCTTGCTTCCTTCCTTTTTTTGCTTTCTTTTTCCTTTCATTTTGTGAGCCTTCTTCCTTCCTTCCTTCTTTTCTTTTTTTCCGTGTATCTGTCTTTCTACATAGGGTTTCACTATGTACACCAGGCTAATCTGGAACATAGTCTTCTTACTTCTGTCTCCAGGGTATTAAGGTTATAAGTATATACAACGATGACTACTATGATTTTTATTCTCAAAATAAGCCACAGAACATATTTATAGTCTCTAAATTGATTACCTGAAAATCTCCCCTTAGGTTTGTGGACACTATCTATGTTCCTGTGATTTCATATATACAAGTGCAGACTACATCGAGTGCAAGGAAGTATGCACTCTAATAAACGAAAGTGTTTTTCTTTTCCTAGTGAAAAATGAATATTATATTTATTTATCACGATCGGGAACATCACAAAACATAACTCCTCATGAATCTTGACCTCTTTCCATTTTCTGAATTTAAAGTAACCTCTCATACATACATGATAGTTCCAAAAATGACAGTTTGAATGAGAACGAAGAAGCTGAAGTCAGTAGAGCAACTATATTGATGTATTTTTAAGAACATGAAGCCCTGCCTTTATTGGAATTTATCTGCCTTTGCTTTGAAGTCTACCTGAGCACAGGAGAAGGAGATTCAAGGTCTTAACTCCATTACTGGCCTTATTCAGCAGTGTCGAACCAATAATAGCTGTTTATCTACTAGCCTGTGCTGCTTCAGATAGAGTGGCTTATTGTAATTCTCCCCTCCAGTTTCCTTCCCCAAGGAAATATCCATATCTCAGATCTGTCTAATTAGCCAGTATGTAAAGAATAGAAAATGGTGAGACGATCCCTCCACCCATGGTTACTGAGCTTAAAAAAAAAAAAAAAACTCAATACAGTTTCTATCTCCATTTTCTTGTTTACATGGTAGATCAAACAAGCACAGATTTGTGGCCACAGAGATGGTGACTTTGTACAATAGAACCCATGCTGTGTATCAAAGGAATATTGTGCCATCCCTCCGAAGCTGACATTGGCATGACATTGTAATCCTGACCATCTGTCCTCCTCCTCTAGATGTCGATGAATGTGTCCTGTTGAATGGAGGCTGCCAGCAGTGCTGTATTAACACTCTGGGCACCTTCCACTGTGAATGTGATACGGGATACAGACTCCATGCTGATGCACGCACCTGCATAAGTGAGTAAATATTAGAACCAGCTTGAAGCCATTTTCAATGAAAATCGACCTGCCCATGTAGGGGTAGAAAGAAAGGGTTTTTTCTTTATTATTCCTATTGTAAAAATATCTAAAGAAGTTGATCATCATCAAGTTCAATTCCATCCTAGAGAATGAAAGAAAAGATGTCTTGCTAGTAAAAATAAAAGACCTAAACAAAAAAGGAAAGAAAAGAAAAAGATGGGGAGGGATAGAGAAATGGACATTCACAAGCAAAACTTGAATCTTCAAATGTGTGACTATTTCTATAGGATCTTGCTTCTGCCATGCTCAGTGAAGTATAAATTTCTCAGTTTGGTTTGACATGCAACATGTATGCAACAGAACCACAATGGTACTTTGGAGAACTTTGCCATGCTAATTACTGGCTATGATGATCTCATTTCTGACCAGATGTACAAATTGAATTCAGACTTGCACTCATGGTTAAGAGTCAGTTCTTAGGAAAATTACAGTCGATTATCTGCCAAGGAGTTGAGTTAACTCATGCATAGTTAAAAGTACATGTATTAAGTGTAGATTACAATATATTTATTCTGCATCGAAATGTTCCTAAATGTAATTTGTGTCTGATAAGGCTATTGTTTTTCACTCTCATTGCTAGGAATCCAAATTCTATAACTTTCCCAAAATAAAATTTCCTAAAATGTGTACATTTGGTAAATTTGCTAAAATTATCAAGTCATTACAAATCATCTACTAACTGAGACCTTATTGGACTATGCCTACTGTCTTGTAGCTTTCTAAATTTATTTATAAATGTTTGAAGAACTCAGTAGCACCTTACTTTTATAAACAACAACAAAAGAAATCTTTTTCTTTTTTTCATGATCTTTAAATTGTATTTTTGCTGAAGAAATTTACAGTTTTTTTGTTTTCATTGTTTTTTTTCATTGAGCTGTGATCCACAGATGATTTTTAAAAATACATCTAATTTTATCTGTATTCATTTTTGAACTAAGTATTATATTACTAATGTAAGACCTAGTACAAGACTACTTAATTGCTGGGTTTAGTCACATGAAGTTTAACTAATTTATCACACAGAATTATTAGTATCTTATCATGTGCTCTGTAATGACGAAACTCAGAAGATGAACCAGCCAATGTAGTTTAACTCCTTTTCTTCTCCTTAGCATGGTTTACAGGTGATGAGAGAATACCAAGGCTAAGGTAATAATGTCCTAGTCACAGGTGTGATGTTGACCAGACAAGACAGTTTATGAGAGCACAAAAGAGTGAGAAGAGAAACTTGTCCAAAGTCAAATGAGGAACATATAAAATCAGATTTTAATATCTGGGGACTTCAGTATCATCATGATTATATCTACAGCAAGCACAAGTTGTGAAATGGCAGGCAGTACACACATAATTATTTCTGGAGACAATCCTCTTTGTTTTGGGATATTAATGGTTTTAGTAAAAGCTCCAATGTCATCCCCAATACCAACTTTAGGACATCGACTGTGAGTAGCATCTTTAAACTATCACTATGAATTCTCTGAGTCACAAAATACTTAGGAGCAACAGAATTATTGATACATGCAAATGAGTAATATTGAGCTGTAAATTTTGGTATCTAATATAAAATTATTTTGCAAAATAGTGATTAATATGAATCAATAATATCTGGTCTCTCTGATAAGATAAAATAAAAACTCCAGTCACCAACTAGATTTTGTTTACAGGCATAATTAGCTTTCAAAACTCTACCAATTATTAGCCAGTGCAATCATTAAGCTCTTAACTTCTGACCATCATTGCCCTTGAATGTTCTTTTATTTTAATGACATCAGCTCTAAAGTGGAGTTGGATAGGATAGTGTGGTTTATCTTTTCTATTTTAATTTTTTAAATGCCAAATCTTATCCGATGTGTACATGAATATTATATCCATAGCTTATTTTCATCTCCATTTATTAGGCAGAATTTCAACAGGGTGTAAAAAATGGAGTTTATTCATTTTTATTAAGGATGAGTAAATTAAGCTACTTCATGCCTGCAATAATTTCCAGGCTTTAACCCCTATATAACATTCTGATGAAGCTGTTAGAATAAGAGCCCAATGCTTGACCTTCATAGAAATCTTGATGTCCTGCCATTGTGCACACACTGAATTCTGGTTTCAGAAATACTAAAAAATCTCAAATGATAGACTTTTCCATGGCATCAATGTTGTTCAAAAGAGTCTAAGAATGAAGGCAGACACTGTGGTTGATGCCTTCTCTATGAGCTACTAAGGGGCCTGGGATTTGAAGGATCACAGTTTGAAGCCATCCTGTCTCCAATTTACCAGCAAAAACATGGAGTGGAGGTGCGGCTCAAGCGGTAGAGTGCTGGCCAGAAGCCAAGAGACTATGAGGCCCTGAGTTCAGACTTAAGGACTGGCAAAAATCAACAATAGCAATGAAAAAGAGTCCAAGAAAAATCTTAAATTTATTTCAAAGTGGCACGGTGGTTCAAATGGTAGAGCGCTAGCCTTGAGCTGAAGAGCTCAGGGACAGTGCCCAAGCTCAGAATTCAAGCCCCACATCTGACTAAAAAAAATAAAAAACTTAATATCCCGAGTGCTGGTGGCTCACACCTATAATCCTAGCTACTCAGGAGGCTGAGATCTGAGGATTGAGGTTCAAAGCCAGCCCAGGCAGGATACTCTTATCTCCAGTTAACCACCAGAAAACCAGAAGTGGTGCTGTGGCTCAAGTGGTAGAGTACTGGCCTTGAGCTGAAGAGCTCAGGGACACCTCCCATGTCCAGAGTTCAAGCCCCACGATTGACAAAAAATTTTTAAAAAAAATTCAAGGCCAATAGGGAATAAAAATTTTCACTTAAAGATTGCTAATGTGGGGCTGGGAAGTTGGCTCAGTGGTGGAGCGCTTGCCTTGCATGCCTGAGGCCTTGGGTTTGATTCCTCAGCACCACATAAGCAGGGGGGAAAAAGCCGGAAGTGGCACTGTGGCTCAAGTGGTAGAGTACTAGCCTTGAGCTGAAGAGCTGAGGGACAGCACTCAGGCCCAGAGTTCAGGCCAGTTACTTGCATATTTTTCTGAAATACTTCACTGTAGAGAACAAGTTCATAGTTGTCTCTACTTTGGACCATATTGTAGGAAGTTTGAAATATTTTTATTTATATATTTGCTTGTACTGTGTCTTGAACTCAGGGTCTTGGGCTCTCACTGGCTTTTTGTTGTTATTGTTTAAGGCTGAGAACCATACCTCCACTTCTGAATTTTTGCTGGTTAATTGGGAATAATAGAATTTCTGCCCATGCTGACTTTGAACCATGATCCTCAGATCTCAGTGTCTTGAATAGCTAAGATCTCAGGTATAAGTCCCTGGTGTATTTCCTTTTTTAAATACACAGAAGTTGAATTAGTTCTCTTCCCTTTGGGATTGCTTTCCTAACAAAAGACAGAATGGCAGTCAATGCTCAAAAGGAGATTATAATAGACATTCATTTTACTGCATATTAGAGCCACGGAAGAAAAGACAGATCTAGACAATCATATGATTTCATTGCATTGGAGTTCTTGAAATAATTTTTCTTCCTATTTTTCCTCCTTTTTTTCCTTTCTTTTCCCAATCTGTCCATCAACTATAGGTCCAGATTGCTGTGACTTTTTTTGAGTCGAGTCTTGTTTTTTTGCAGTCTCTTAAAGTCACAACAAATTCCAAACACCCCAAACACTTCCAGCATTTCAGATGAGCTGATTTTGTAAAGGGCTCCCTCTCTAAGTGTTGCACTTGTGTACTGCATACACAGCTGTTACTGTCAGCCTCTGTGAGAGTGAGAAGCATCACAAAGTAGTATAAGAGGAGTTCTAGTACTTGGCAAAGATGCTGTGTACATGAGTATATGGGCCACTTGGCTCTCCCTACAGGACTGAGGTTCCCAATATAATTAGGAAGAGTTTTGTTCATAGTTCTTATGAAAAGTTTTGGAATGCATGCTGTTTTAATGAAAACAGAGGTCTATAATTTTTCTCAAATTGTTTAAGATGGTGAGAGCACCCCCAAAATATCCCATGTGTGTGTGTGTCTGTGTCTGTGTGTATGTGTCTGTGCGTCTGTGTGCCAGTCCTAGGGTTTGAACTCCAGGCCTGGGAGCTGTTCGTTGTACTCAAAGCTAACATTCTACCACTGAGCTATAGCCCCACTTCTGCTGTTTTGTGCTTAATTGAAGATAAGAGTCTCACAGATACGGTATGGGGAAGCTGATAGGTATGGAATTCCTGTCAGATTTTCAGTGCTATTGTGTTCTCCATTAGCACAGCTATTATCAAGCTTAAAGAAAAGTTGAAGAAACAATGGAAACTGAAGTTTAGCAGTCATCAGAAAGGTAGATAGTTATGTTTATACCAGTAAGCAAATTAAATATCATCCATTGGATTGAGGGACAGTAGGGCAGTGGAATCCAGTTGAAATGATCTACATTAAACCATGAGATCTGTATACAAACTGATTTCCTTATGTGCAAAGTATAGAAGTTACATGTTGTCTTTCTTCAGTTTTATAAACTTTCAAAATTACTTATTTATTATAAACCATCTACTAGTGGGAGCTCTATTGGATTATGCAGAACAATGCCTCCGAACATTCTAATTTTCTTTAAAAAAACATTTAATGAACTCAGACTTTAATAAGTGCAAGCATAAGAGTGTGAGAATTTTATGATTTAGTTTAATAAAAATGAGTAGGTAGCTTAATGCTTTTATTGAAAAGAAATATATTTGGTTTTTTTATGTCTCCTTTTATATCATAGAATCCTATCTAGAAAGGATCTGAGGCATAATTTAGTCCAATATCTTACCTTAGAGATAAGAAGTCTCAGAACCAAAAAGACCTATTAACTTTTATTCTGGGAGAAAAACCAAACCAAAACAAACAACAACAGTTTTCAGAGAAACCTGGTTAAACTCACTTTTAAGTTCTCCAAATAAATTCTGACAAATACAGAACATG